AACTAAATTCATAACTTCTAGTCCAATTCCCAACAGAACTAGGTAAGGTAGAAATGGGTCAATTTATTGAACTAAAAAAACCGGCCAAGTGCGTGTCGTGTCACGCGCAGTGTAGGGTTCCGTCGTTGTCCTTCTTTACCACAATAAATTAATTTCGTTTTGTCGGCGTGATTAAAAAAATTACAAAATACCTCTAAAAAATTACAGCTCTCTAGTGCCAATAGTTTCCAAGCAAAACCTCGGACGGACAGACATGACAAAATTATAAGGGCTATGGTCTACCTACGGCTAAGGTCAGGACTATGGAACCCTAAAAAACGGAAGCTTATATGACCTAGGTAATAATTTACCAATCGGTTATAATTTAATAGACAAATTAATAAATCGAATTAGGAAAGTATTTTATTTATTTTATGTATTTCCACGAACTAAAGCCAAGTTCAACAGTTTTAATTAATATATTGCAAGTAATTAATTTAATATGACACGTATATCAATAGTTGCCTGCTTGCTATTATTATTAATTATTATTATAATATAAATAGCGATCGTTGTTTCCGTCATCCCAACTAATATTATAAATGCGAAAGTAACTCTGTCTGTCTGTCTGTCTGTCTGTCTGTCTGTTACGCTTTCCCGCTTAAACCTCGCAACCGATTTTGATGAAATTTGGCATAGAGATAGTTTGAGTCCCGGGAAAGAACATAGGATAGTTTTTATCCCGGTTTTTGAAACAGGGACGCGCGCGATAAAGTTTTTCTGTGACAGACAAAATTCCACGCGGGCGAAGCCGCGGGCGGAAAGCTAGTATGTAATATCCTAAGCAAATCTAATTAATTTAATGTTATTACAGGAAGGAACAATTTAGTTTCGTCAATGTTATTTTATATTTTTTTAATTAACACATTAAAGTATTTCGGTAATAAATAGTTAGAACTGGCGGCTTTCCTTCCACCAGTATGGCAGTATAAAGATTCGTGATTAATTAACGAGTATTTTTAGTGACATTAGCAATAAAGAGTTAGCTGTCATAATAACGATTTCAGTCATTAATATTATGACTAGCTAGCGCAGGGGAATGTAGGACAAATCCTCCGTTTCATCATCATCATCATCATCTCAGCCATAGGACGTCCACTGCTGACCATAGGCCCCAATGCTTCCCATGTTGCCCGGTTGGTAACGGCCTGCGTCCAGCGCCTTCCTGCTACCTTTATGATGTCGCCGGTCCACCTTGTGGGTGGACTCCACCGTTTGCCTCTGGTAAATTAGAGTGGATCGTTCTCCTGCTTATCATCTTCTTCTTGTTCGCTCTTGGCAGAGCGGTTGTGGTCACGTTGAGGCGTTGTTCACATCGGTTGTAGAAGTGGATACAACTGTCCGCACGATCTCCCGCTATCTATCTCTATTGGCAGACTGTCTGGTGCAGTCACATACGCTGTCTCCCACTGCCGATTTTACTTGGTCGGTCCAGCGCATAAGTATCTATTTTAGTGGATGCTAAACGATCTGATGATGGTGATGATGAAATACTATTGATTATTTACAGTATTAAAAAGGGTTAGAAGTCGATTTGCACGAAATTCATGCACACGCACATTGATGCGAACGAATTTCGTGCGAAACGACTACTAACCCATTAAAAAGCGACAAAAACACAAACAAACAAGCCAGTTTTTTAAACATTATTATCTAGGATAACTTCATTAAATCCGGTTTCTTAGTCTTAATTATTAAATGATAATTATTTCCTTCCAGTCACTTTCTTGTTAGTATAAAACTTTTATGTAATTTCACAGAATCGACTTTTATTATCAGATATCTGTTCGGCGTGGATCAATAGCATTTTAATTGATCGTTAATGAGAAAGTAAATTGCTTGCGTCTTTTGGTTGGTGTAAACTTCTGTAGTTTCTAAAACTAAAAATCTTCTAGGATAGCACATTTTTTTCTAGGTTATAAGTATTTTTTTAACGGAATTGTTGGAAAATAGCTCTTATTGCTCCATGTGTAAGGTTAAGATCAACTAAACTAAAAATTTCAACTAAGTTAACATTATATTAATATCTTAATTGGGATGAAAAAATCAATAAAAGATGATTAATGATTTATTTAGTGTGAAAATCTACTTTAATAAACATGTGGTAATGTCAAAATAAATTATTAGTTTTTATTTTTGATCATTATTTATTTTGTCAGCACTAAATCGAAATCAAAATAAATTATAAACAATTATTAACCAAATCGAAAACAAAATTTTTTGAAAATGTACAGTCACGAGCACTGACATGTGCACACTATATTTATTCCGCTGTAATAAGGTTTCAATTCCAATAGAAATGCAGTTTTTTTTTACTAAACATTGAAATTCATAGTAAACATTAACGAAACGTGTACATGCTAATTAATTACAATATATAAGTTCAACATTATTATTCATATAACGTAATAATCGTTAATGTAATTGAAAACAAAAACTGAAGTTCAACAAAAAGCGCGCGTGCGCACACGAACGCGTTGATGTCTTTATTATGGGCGGCCATTTTTATGGAGTATTTGCATGTTTTTATTTTATTTATGGTTTCGTGCGCTTTGCACATAATATTTATAGCCAGTGTCAATATAAACATATTTTTTTAGGTTTAATTAATGAAAGTAATATGGTAAATGACGTCAGCTTATATTTTATCACTTCTCGTGTAGTATAAGTGTATTTTATGGCTAGATTAAATAGAAAAGGCATAATTTTCAATTATTATGATAACTTTTTTTATATTCTGGGAAGGCTGATACTGCCTATTTCGTAAAATTGTAGTACAATATCGTTAAAAAAATTAACATTTTACAAATATAAATAATTATAAAAAAGTGTCTGAAATTAAAACGAATTAAATGTATTTGGTGTTGTTTGTTTTTGTTATTACAATCGACACGTTGAAGTAAAAATAATTTAATTTCGAATATTTTTTCGTTTATTATTTTTCAATTATACATTAATTTTTAATTCAAAGTCAAGGCGGCTATTATGGTGTTTTTAGACTGCATATTTTTGTGCTGTTAGTTTTCCATAGACTTTGTAGAAATTGATAATAGATAAGAATGTTTCTGTAAATAAAATACTGTAAATATGGTCAATTTAATATTATGTAGGATAATACACATTCCTTATTTAACACGTGAGGCGTATAATAGTCTATTATTATATTTATCACAGCGCGTATTTATAAAACATATGTGTAGATACACAGTCATGCGAAACAGCAGTCACGTTAGAAAAACTAACGTAAACTTTTTTCTTTTTTATGCAATAGTATTTATAAAAATTGCGTTGTGTATTTCCGTTTCTAACCGTGTGTAGTCTGAAAGCAGGCGCGGGTCCGTTATAGCGGGCATGCCCACAGCCTTGATAGACTGTGACGTCACACTTTCACGGTTTATGACGTTCCATTCAAAACTAAAAAAACTCATTTTTCTGCAAATAGGCTTTAAAAAAGCACTTTTACACGTCCCAGTATTAACCCTACCACTGCTTCAGGACAATAAATAGGCCAGTGCTGAGAAGAAGCAGCGCAAGAAACTCAGTCACTATTGTCAGCCTCTTTATTATTATTTACTAGCTTTCCGCCCGCGGCTTCGCCCGCGTGGAATTTTGTCTGTCACAGAAAAACTTTATCGCGCGCGTCCCTGTTTCAAAAACCGGGATAAAAACTATCCTATGTTCTTTCCCGGGACTCAAACTATCTCTGTGCCAAATTTCATCAAAATCGGTTGCGAGGTTTAAGCGGGAAAGCGTAACAGACAGACAGACAGACAGAGTTACTTTCGCATTTATAATATTAGTTGGGATTTATGCCATAGTAAACTTTTGATAGTTTCGAAGTCGTAACTATCAGAAGTTTGACGCGTAAGTACGCGAAAAAGAATTAGGCTGAGTTGCACCATCTTATTTTGACTTTAACAAACGTCAAAAATCTGCCAAACTCCATACAAAAAGCACCAGTTATTGTTAAAGTTACGGTCAGAGTAAGTTGGCTCAACTCACCCTTAGTAATGAAAGATAGCACTAAATAACATTTAATGTATGATATTTTATTTCATTACATTAAGTGAATTTGTTAATGTTTTTTATTAATAATTTAAATATTTATTATTATTTATTTGGTAATTGCGTAATCATAAGTTACGCACTTTCATGAAGGTTTTAAATGCACTTTTATGTTAATGACCTACTTCTTTTAACTGTCGCTTAATTTAGGTGAAGTTTTTTTAAAAATCGTTATTATCATTTTGCTAATGAATAATAATATGATGTTTATTAAAAAAACTGCGGATTTTATAAAAATATTATAGAACTTGAACTCTTTGAGTCGTTTAGCATGTTTTTTTTCGTGTTTTTTGCTTTGTTGCAATTATTTTTTAATGTTTGTTTACTTTCCAATTTTGCACTTGTTACCTGACCAGCAGTTCGCAACATAATTCAATAATTTGTTTTAGTAAACTGAGGATAGTGCTTTTAATTTGCTATATATTTTGCTCTTTCCAAATAAAATTAAATGGAAGACATATAAAAATTACTATTGAAGTTTTAAACTGAGGATGGCGCTGTGTACGTGACTAATAATCTACTATATAAAAATAAGTCGGGTTTTCCTCCCTGACGCTATAACTCCAGAACGCACGAACCGATTTCCACGGTTTTGCATTCGTTGGAAAGGTCTCGGGCTCCGTGAGGTTTATAGCAAAGAAAATTCGGGAAAAGGGGGTAAAACGGAATTCCACGCGTACGAAGTCGCGGGCGGCCGCTACTCGTATTTGTCATAAAATTGAATGGAAGTATAAAAATGTTTTCTTTAAATATATTTTGTCCTGTATTTTGTGTGAGAAATAAATCATTATTACTTTGGAGTTTTCGTGAGCGAACAAAGTAGCATTAGTTGACTGAATCCGCGCCTGTCTGAAAGCGGCTCAATCCCACCGATGGTCCGGTGCGCGCGCGCATCGGCAGTGCCGCCCGCGCCGCCGCGACGCTCGCACGCGAGTGAAGTGATGGTTCAGTGCTCTTGATTATTGGATTCACACTTTTTCCCGTTGACACAGTAAGTCGGTCTCATATTATCATGTGTTTCACGGCGAATTTCAGTGTGCTCTATTTTTTAGAAATTATTGTTTTAGGGTTAGGAATTCCCCAAGTTTTGCGCATATAATTCGAAAATAACGGATCCGGTGGATGATTTGAAAGTGCTGAAAAATTCTTCAGTTATTCAATTCGCGAGCGGAATGCGCTCTGTTATTTTAAGATTTTTTTATAGTGCGTTAAAATTCCAATGTTTAACTTAGGTTTTTATATTCGTATTTACGATAGAATAGTTTTAATGATAATTGACTAATAAATTATTGAATATTTGCAGTAAATAAGTTATGTTTATTTATAACTAGCTTTCCGCCCGCGGCTTCGCGCGCGTGGACTACATTATCTACATATTTTACGGAACCCTATTTTTTTCCAAAATAAAATTTAGCCTATGTTACTCGTGGATAATGTAGCTTTCGAATGGTGAAAGAATTTTTAAAAACGGTCCAGTAGTTTTTGAGCCTATTCATTACAACCAAACAAACAAACAAAGTTTTCCTCTTTATAATATTAGTGTAAACAAAAACAAATCGAATTCGCGTGAATAAATGAGAAGAGCAACCGAGTTCAAGTGCACAGCTGACGCACCTTCGAAATAAAAAGCAAATAGGCAAATCGGCCTATAAACGGCACGACAAGTCATCACGCGATACACACAGACCCAATTCAGCGTAATTAATTTGCAAACGGCGTTAATGCGTTTCTCAGTGTACGTGCATGTATTTAAATTATTTAGAAATCCAGTCGTCACTTGCAAAAAACGAACGAAATCGACGAAGCGGCGCGGGCGCCTGTTCGCCGCCGCGCCCATACTCTCGCTGGAAGAGGCGTTTTTCTCATTTCTAAACTGCAAAAAATCATCACAAAACAATAACATTTCGAACACAGAAATAATCCAAGAGAAAACACTGGTTCGCAATTACAAGCATAATAAAATAATGTTACATAAAAAATCAGCTTTTAACACACGTATTCGTGCATTGATATTGTTATGAAATCCTTTCAAGTATTTTGAATAAATAAAATGTATAAATATTAATGTCGGACATTAGCAATCAGCTGTACTGCGTACGAGTTGAAGAATATTCGAATATAGAATAGGAATTGATAGAAGTAACGGTAGAAACGGTCAGTTAGATGCGTTATTCGTCGCATCTAGTATTGCAATTATCTTCGTGAGATCTTAGGCGAGTATGTTAGTGGCTCGCGCAGTGAGAGTTAGAATGTGTAGCACCGCGACCTGGAACGCCTCGAATTATTGTCCGTAAACGCGTTTCATACTTAAATAAATCGCAGAAAACGAGATAAAGTGCCATTGGGCAGGGCTAAATGTACGGACGAGGGAAGAGTTTAGTTGATATTCCGCTGTGCGCACACGCAGCGTTAGAAACACAGACTTGGTTGAAAACTTGGAACGATGCTACCGTTAGTGAAGAAATAGTTTTGGATCTGGCCATATCCAGCAGATAGGTTGCATCTTATAAGATCTTGTAGTGTTTAGTCCAAACTAGAATTTAAGACCTACCAAATCATTAATATGTAATTTATACTATTTCTTATTTCATCTTCCCAGTACACAAGGCAGGCAGATCAGAAAAAAATATCTTTTTAAATATCAGCCTTCGGGAAATTTTCGGGAATTTTCTAACTTTCCATAAAGCTTTTCTGCTCAAGTAAGTTTTCTCTTAATACGAATATTAGTAATAATAAAAGTGAAAAGCTGTCAGGAAGTTCTATTAGTGTTTTCATAAATATAAACCTATACTTATATAGAACACGTTCATAAACTTAATTGATAGAGTAGTTGATTACCTCTGTACAAGAATTCAAGACAGACTGTAACAGACCGCTTTTAGTGTTCATACGTCAACGTACACAATAATAATGTTAACAAAGCTTCATTTTATTTAATATTTTCTACTTTATAATCGTGAGAAAAAGAAATAAGGAAAATACAACGTGTAAATTAGAAGACTCATTACTATTCCGTGTGCATTATTATAGGTTACAACTAAATTTCACGAAGAGCATGCAAAACTACGTTTCCCATCTTCACGCCAGTTCCTTGTGCGAGTGTTGAAACTTTCATAACGATTAATTATAGCAAGTCGTCTTGCCAATTAAAAGAAATTGCCGCTAGATTATATCTAGATGCGCTAGCCGTACGCATTACCGCGGAAGTGCGAACTGTCGCATGCGTGTGTGTGTTTGGGATTGGATAGTTGGTTTACTGTATGATTTCTTTAGTTTCAAGTGTGAATATGTATTCAGTTTTCTGTTCATTTGTAGTAAACAAATCACTAATATCCCTGTTCACCTCTTCAAGAATATTATGCTTTTTCATGAGTAGTATCACCATAAATCTACTACCTTTCCTCGATTCTCGAATCAGCAATCGGATGTTAACAACATTGGCGCTTTTTAATATTTGCCGATAGATGGCATTATGTAAATTGTAGATCGCGGTGTGTACCATCTTTCCTGTACTGAATATAAACTATTAGTTTCCCAGACCAAATAAGGAAAAAATAATAGTTTAATATTATACAATACGTTTGTGCTGATTATCAACTGTAAACACATAAAATCTTCATAATAATTCGCGTCATTAGTCCACTTAAATACTAATTTAATACATTTTCATGAAATTGTTAGTGTCAGCATTCTCTCATTTAATTAAAATGATATATTATGTGATCTATTTAAAAACAATTTAACCATTAATTTCAACGCAGTATAACACGTTTGTGATCTATTATTGTCTTTAAAATTATTTTGTGTGTTTAAGTGATCTAAGTCATAAATTATTAATAATTAAATTAATTGTTCCAATTACATATAGCAGCAATTATTTATTGAGCCCAAAACCGATCACAGCATGTGTTATAGCGACTTGATGTCAGATAATGATGCTATTATTTATTAATGATTTAGCACATATTATTATGTTCTATTCAATAAATCAGTTATCACAAACATTATTAAATTGTATACTATTAACATCCACGACTACAGCTAATATTACTCACAAGGATTCAAACTCGCAACCGCGTTACCTGTGTACGCGAAGCACCAGTACAGGTAGCCTACACAGAACTATTCCCACCTCTCGTTCCCACCACTGCAACTCCTGTGTAGCCAGGATCTACAGCTTGACCGCCATAAAAACCCAACCAATGAAGGTCAAGTTTGTCCCGGGGGAAAGTTAAACTGTCATTGGACCCGCAACGAAATTAACCAGAAGAACATAGGAGGAGTTCGAAATTACAGTGCAGGTAGCGTGTTTAAAAAATCTTAAATGTAAAAACAAATTAATAAAGAGAACAGGCAAAGTTTAGCCTAGGCGCAGACCATCGATATTTAATTTTAGTCGGCCGATAGTTGGGCCCGATTCTAATTTGTATGAAGAATCAATCGGTGTAATGTGCGCACTTCCATACATGCCCATACTGTTTAACTGTCCGACTAAACTATCGGCCGACAAAATTAAAAACAAAACCACACTCAAATATTACACACTTCAGAATAAACTTCTATTACCTATCTATTTAGGTATTTATCTAAATGTGTAAGTTTAAGGAATTATGTTTACGTTCGAATCACCTTTTAAGCTTCCTTTTACTATGAAATGTAGAAATCAGAGGTTTTAATGACGGTTTAATAGTGTATTTAGTGCCAAAGCCAATATTTACAGTCCACTTGTGAAGTCCTCAATATTTTAATCACGTCTGTACGTTAGTTAATATGCATTTAGTATCGTCGTTAAGAAGTTTCACTAATAAGAAAATACGTTTTAATAAACTGGTTTTCTGGAATATTATATTTGCGTAGTTTTCCAACAAATTGACATACTAAAAATATGTCAGTTATTTTCTTGAAAAAATTGTATCGTTATGTTTTTGGCTTGAATAACTCGAACGCGATGATAATTAAATTATACTTAATTGTACCTATTTGTAAAGATGAAGATTATTTTGTAACTCTTTTATTACAATTCAATAACTCCAAGTCTAATTACCGTTTAATAAAACAGCTATTATTCAGCACTTAATACTTATTTTTAAAGTCAGTTTCGGCTGGGAGCTCGATTCTCGAGATTGTTGACAAAAGTATGTCTATTACGTACGTCTTGGACAAACGATTCAACTACATAGATAGGTCCATTTCGAGAAAGAGGTTAATCGTCAAATCCAACTCGGCTGGACAGCGTTCGGGAAACTACACATCTTTTCGTCCAAAATATCTCAATGCCTTATGACGAAATAAAAGTTTATAAACTAGTGTGTGTTACCAGTGATGAAAACAATGCCAACTTTCTGATAGTGTAATCCTACTAATATTATAAATGCGAAAGTTTGGATGTCTGGATGTTTGTTACTCTTTCACGCAAAAAATACTGTACTGTTAAAACTTTACAGTGTTATTGTTTGTAACGCAGATTAACATATAGGCTATAATCTATGCCGATCTATGCCCCTAAATTTCACGCGGGTGAAGCCACGGGCAAAAGCTAGTAATGACATAAGGCTGTAAAGAAACACTGTGATGGTGTAGCAAGGACCAATTATGGGCGCCATTAGCCGCCTCCCGCGTTTGTCCGTCTGTCTGTCACCGCTGCTAAATAAGACCTTCCACTTTGTAACGTCTTGGTGCAGGGCTGCATCATCTTTTCTAAACTTGAGTAACATAACTTATTATAAAAATGTATGACTTAACGCATTCTTTCTTATGTATTCTTCTGCGAATGTGATTATAAATGTTTATTCTGGCTAATCCCCCTAACACCTGGACCAATTTAGACGGGACTTTCACAGACGTACTAGCTGATGCTGTTACTAGGCTTTTTAGTGCTATAAGCAGTAAGTAGATAGACTTTTATTGTAAAAAAATACGTGAAACTAGTTGCCTCCCGCGACTTCATACGCGTGACCCCGTTTTACCCCCTTAGGGGTGGGGTTTCGTAAA